TCGGGGGGCCCCCATCCCCCCCCCCCCCCCCCGCCGACTTACCTTGAGGGAGCTGCTTTCATGCTGCCTGGCTGCCACATGCACATGTGCACATACACGTGGCACCCCCTGCCTCATTGCTGTCCTCCCATGCCTCCAAGATCCTTGTAGGCTGAAACTCTGCCAGCGTGGAAGGGGAAACCAGCTGTTTCCTATGTTTTTCTTCTCAAAATGAAAAGATCCACATTTTCCATGGTGAACAGAAAACCTGGATCCCTGATAATGATCATATGGAAGTTCTAATAATAGTAAGGATGTTAACCTGTATATTATCGTGAAGTTTCAGTGTAGCCGGTTACATTTTCTTTACCTTAAGTCTGTGCAGTTTAATTTGTATCATGGTTCTTCATTATCTGCTTTGCTGTGAAGCAGCTAGCTAATATGTTTTGTGTTGGAGATTTGGTGTAGTCTATTAGTGCATTGAGTAATAACTATATAGACACTACCAGTCTAAACAGGAATGTTGCTTATATTCAGTTAGTTAATTATTTTTAAGTGTTTAGAAGTCCTTGGCTGAATCTTGTCAGGTATCATTGTTAGTATCATATTTTCATATCACACTTTAATTATTCCCCAGTCCTGGTATCTTTGATTTGTTTATCATTTCTTTTCCCTCTAATTTCACCAAAATATTTGTTTGTTATTTATGTTTATGTATAATTTTAAAGGTACAAAGCGAGTATCCTGGACAAAAGATTAATTTGAGTGTTATCAATAGGATTCATTTTTTTTCTTGTAGCTTTTCTTTCATTTTTCATCTTTGTAGTTCCTAACAGCACTATTTTATAAATAAGCATTTCAGAATATGAACTCAAAGAGAAAAGCAGAAACCTGGAAGAAGAACAGGAGACAACTGGTGAGTTAATAGTTGCAGAATAAAATAGTCTTTGTACTTATAAATATGAAGTAAATTGAAAAATTTGTAACTACATAGCAAGTGAGGGCCTAATTACTGTGGTTTAGCTTTCAGTTTCACCATGAAATAAAAACAGGTATGCCAACAACTACTACACATCGGCCTCTCCACAGATAAGTCCCCCTGCTCACTTTTCGCTAGCTATAATTGGTTCTTTTGTTCATACATCAGCCATGAGACCAAGAATTAGATCACAGGATCATAAGAACATGGGACTGGACATGACCTCACAAAGTCATCTAGTCCAGCCCGCTGTTTAAAGCAGGGTCAGCCCTGAGTAAACTATCCCAGCCAAGTGTCTGTCTAACCTACTCTTGAAAGTGTCCAAACATGCAGATTCCATAACTTCTCTAGGTGGCCTATTTAATGGCTGTCTAAGGTCATAGTGGAAGTTTTTCTTAATCTTCAGCCTACATTTCCCTGTTGCAGTTTGAGGCTGTTGCTCCTAGCCTTGTCCCCTGCCGCTACAAAGAAAAGCCCATCTCCATAATTTCTAAAATTACCCTTAAGGTATTTGAAGATTGTTATCAAATCCCACCTCAGTCTTGTATTCTTCTGGCTAAATAATTAAGGTTATTTCAGCTTTTCCTCATAAGTCTTGTCTCTCAGGCCCCTGATAATTTTTGTTACCCTGTGCTGGACTCTTTCTGAACTGTCCACATAGTTCTCGAAGTGGGGGCCCCAAAACCGGACACAGTACTCTAGGTGGGGCCTCACCAATGTTGAATAGAGCAGAAGAATCATTTCCCTTGATTTGCAAATAACACTCCTGTTGGTACAACCCAGTATGCTGTTGGCTTTTATTGCAAAAAAAAGAAAAGAAAAAGAAAAAAGTGCACTGTTGGCTCATATTCAACTTATGGTCCACTATAACCCCCAGGTCCTTCTTTGTAGTAGTACAGCATAGCCAGTCCTTCCCCAGTCTGTATTTATGCATGTAGTTATTCTGCCTCCAGTGCAGGACTTTGTACTTGTCCTTACTGAATCTCATTTAACTGATTATGGACCATTTCTCTAGTCATTATGGAGCCTATCCATAACCACTGGAACATGTGCAGTTCCACCCAACTTGGTGTCATCTGCAAATTTGCTAAGTGCTCACTTGATTCCCATTATCCAAATCATTAATGAAGATGTTGAACAATACTGGACATAGAAGAGACCCCTGGGGAACCCAGTTTCATACCTCCTCCCAACTAGACATTGAACTTTAGAAGTAACCATTTTCAGGTATTAAAGATGCCTTGTAGTGCTTATTCTAAGATCTGGCCCCAAAAATGATGCAGCAGATCAGCATAAATCACTTTTTTCTTTTTGTTTTCCCCTTGCACTGTTGTCTTCTCAATTAGACTCCTAGCTGCTCAGGGCACGGACTTAAGTTGTATGTTTGTATACTACTTAGCAATGAAGCAGTCATCTTAGTTGAGTCTTGTAATTGCTACCATAATACAAAAATAATAATGTGTTTGATCAAAGTATAAGTGAAGAAATTAAATTGCTGTCCAGTGGAGAAGTAAACTCAACCACACTATACAGCTTGTATAATTGTATACTTTGTAGTTCTCAAACTCTGCATTCAGCTGTGTGTGAGGCGTCAGGAGTCAGATCCCACGGTTCTTAGTGCCACAGAAAGATTGTTTCCTGAACAATTTTAGGAGAATGTGTCTGTCATCCTAGACAAATCAGAGGAACTGTGGGAAGTCATTGGAGGCCTAACAGCACTTGAGTATTTAGCCTGCATTGTAGGTAGATTACAAATCCAAATATTATTAGCGTGCTGACTTTAACTGGAGCCAAACAATTCAGTATTTCTGTCTGTCAGACATGTTTTGTTTTTAACCCCAATTAGATGACACATTCAGATTCTGAAGTTTCATTCTTAAAAATTTTGATTCAGAAATGTCACTATTCTTTTTTTCACATTTTCAATTGAACTGAAATAGTTCAGTATGCCTGGAATTTAAATGTTTAGCCCACAACTCTTCCTTTTCAGACGGATCAGCGTTAAACTGAGTATTTCATTACTTTTTCATTTATTTTCTGGCATTGGGTTTCCTGGAGGATTAAATCTCCCTTGGTGCATTGCAGATCCACATACTTGGACTGTGTAGCACAATGACTTTTCAACCTGTGGTCCATGGACCCCAGGGGCATCCCTGCACTGTCTAAGGGGTTCATGAAAGATGACTGTGATCGGTCAAAATTTGTGAATACATACACTTACACATCTGAGGGGTCCACACCACCATTCAGAATTTCCAAAGGGTTCTTTCTGCACCTCCATTCAAAATTTTTAGGGGTCTGCACATAAAAAGAGATTGAAAACCACTGGTGTAGCAACTCGGATGATTAGTCTTATACCAGGTTCCTCATGAGAAATGTGGTTCAACCAGCAAGTCAGGCCTATGCGAGAGATCAGGGGTCCAAACTACAACGCCAGTAAAGAAATGTGTGTTTAAAAAAAAATGAACTTGTTTTTACCTCCTTAACTGATTCAAACTAAATATTTCAGGTCTTTTCAGTAAAATACAATGTTTTCCTTTGTGTTGAACTAATGTGAAAGAAAATCTTTCATATAATTTTTTTCTAGAGGTCTCTTGACAAAACTGAAATTTTCCTTTTTGTGTGTGTGCGCAAAAACTATGTTTTCCCCTGGAAAATTTTTTGCTAAAAAAAAAAATCCCAGGCAATTCTAGCATTGGCCCGTACCCAAACATAGGTTTTAAGCACTACACTTAGGGAAGATAACTTTTTTGGGGTGTGGGGGGAAGCAGGTTAGGGTTAAAACCTCACTGAGTAGCAACCTGGTTAATTCAGCAGCCAAAACGAGCCATATTTCTGGTGGAGGGCCGCTTACCCAGTTTTGGCAGGCTGTCAAGGACTGCATGGGTAGCCCCGCCCCTTGACGGGTTCCCTGCCCCCTGGTCACCATCTTGGAACCAGTGTCCCAATGTCTTGGGACCAATGTCCCAAGGCCAGCACCGGTGGGGCCCTAAGCAGAATGTAGGCTGGCAGGGGTCCGTGGAGCTTGGCTGGGCTGCACCAGCGGGGAGAGGGGGAAGCTAGCTTGGCTCCATGGAGCCCCTGCCAGCTGGGACCCTGCGCTCCTGCCACCGTGCTCTGGGCCCTGCTGGCACTGACCCCAGGGCACTGGTGTGGGCCCCGTGCTCCCACTGGCTCCCTGCCCACTCACTCCCAGTGCCCACCAGCACTATGGTACAGGTGGGGGGCAGCGCACAGCCCTGACCCCCTGCTTGCTGGTAGGGAAGAAGCTGGTGCTGAGCACAGGGAAAAGCGGCCCCTCGCCCACCCCATGGCTGGTGCTCCCTGCTGCAGGCACTCGCAACCCACGCGGGGCTGTCTGGAGCAGGCACAGGCAGACCCAGACAGTCTGCAAGCAGCTGCAGTGTGGGGCACTGGCCACACAGCGAGCAAGGGGCCACACTTCCCCGTGCTCGGCACCAGCTTGTAACCCGGCCCTGCTGCCAGCCTGGCAATGGGGCCGGGTTACAAAGGGGTGCTGAGCATGGGAGGGGGTGAGGGAAGCAGCCCCTCTCCTGCCTCATGCCTGGTGCCCTACGCTGCAACCACTCACAGCCTGTATGCAGCGGCCTGTGCCTGCTCCGGACAGCCCTGCATGGGCTGCGAGTGCCTGCAGCAGGGAGTGCTGGCCATAGCGCGGGCAAGGGGCTGCTTTTCTCTGCGCAGGGAAGGAGCCCAAGGAAAAGCTGAGCACAGGGGGAGAAGCAGCCCCTCCCCTGCCCCATGGCCAGTGCTCCCTGTTGCAGCCACTCGCAGCCCTTCACAGGGCTGTCCGGAGCAGGCACAGGCAGCCCCAGGCATGCTGCGAGTGGCTGTAACATGGGGTTTCAGGCAGGGGGTGGGAACGGGGCCACTTTTCCCTAGGCTCCTTCCCAGCCCAGGGTCGTCCCCTGCCCTTCCC